AGGGAAACCATTAATCTAAAACAGGGCTTTAGCTACATGTAATTAAGCTCAGCCTGTACGCCCTGAACTTCTGCTCTGAGTATACAATACATACCAGAGACCTGTAAGCCCATCTGATGGGACATGGAAAACAGATGCTTCTGCCAATAAAATTGTCTAGCAGTTGTGCCAGAATAACGGGAATGCTGGTGAAAGGTGGCTGGGTTTTCCAACCTCTGAATTGACACTCATTAGAAAAAGTTTTAAGTACGGCCTCAAGGTTGGATCTTCAAAAGTACTTAGATCCTCCTGGCCCGGGATGAAAAATGTAAAAAAAAAACCAAACCCCAAAAAACCCCACCATTCAAATACTACTTAATTCAGGAAAGACCCCAAGTCTTATCTAGACACTCCCAGTTCCTAAACTAAGTTTCACATGCAAGGCCAAGGTATCAATGTTGAAATGGTGAAAGCCATTCCCTCCTCTAGAAATACTCTTACTTTAAAGTTGATTTCCTGCTGTAGACGGGTGCCAGGCTGGCAGCTACTTACTCGCACAGCATCTACGGCCTTGGCTGTAGAAACACAAGCTTCCTATAAATCCCTTGTTCAGATCTGTCCCAGGAAAAAAACATTTGGTTCATGGCTACGGCATGAAAATAGATCTGTCTTCATGCTCACCTCTTCGCCTTGCCGACTGGCTTGTTAAGAAAGCCCTGTTACTTCTGTTGGCCGTCTCGCACAACGGCCAGCGTTCGGTGGCCTGTGGGATTTCAATGGAGACCATCATGCCGGTCAGACGGTGTCGTTTCAAGCGTTCAGCCTGTGCTGGACTCTTAACTAGTGACCTTGAGATAAAAGTCTCTCTCTCTCGCGCGCACATCAACTCATCCTTGCAATTAGCAACAAAAGAAGTCACATGGCAGGAGACCAACTTCTCCATTTCACCTAATTTAGCAAAGAGTGGGAATTATTGGGGCAATTTTCAGCAAACTCCGTATCAGCACGTGTTTCAAACAGAAACACTAATAGCTACTCAAAACAACTTTAAAGCTTCCTGAATTAAGCCTTTTTCCAATTACAGCTGTACCTTTCAATCAGTAATGTAAAATAAACACACTATAACCTTTGGAAGGTTGTCTCATCTAAAACCTTTTGCATTACCTCCAGTGTGAATTTGGGTTAGCTTCAACTTCCAGTCATAAATTTCAATTGTCTCTCACAGCTAGCTTGAAGAACCCTCGATAATTAAATTCCTTTAAATATCCTCTCCTATCGATCCAGTCACCTGCAGCCATCTGTCAGTTAGGCTACGCCATTTGAGGCTTTTCTCCTCTCTTAGGCACTTCGACGGCTCTTCTGTGAACCTTCTCTGAGGTATCAGTGTCTTCCTCAGGGAAATCATCCAAGAGCTGGCAGTGCAAATATATAGATGAAATAATCTGTGGCTACTCGGGAACTTTCTGCGAACCTGCTTTCCTTAGAAAATGAAGTTAGGAGCACTGAGTCAGGGGACAGGACCTCAGGTATGGACAAGCACGGGAAGTCTTAGGAAATATGGCAGGATGACGGGGAGAGCCGGGATTATTGCCATGGTGGAGGGAAAGGACATGGCACATACTTCTAGGAAACCAGGTTTCAGCAGTTCCAGCACCGATGGAACAATCTGCTACACCCAGGGACGGCCCCAGCCCTTTACCTACAGCATCACCCAGAGAAAACCGGTACTCGGAGCACAGCTCTTCCATCTGCGCTGTCCCTAGAGGGAGAAGCTGACATGGGGCCAAGTTAAAGCACAGACGACCGGATTGCTCTGGGCCATGGAGACACCCTCTTCGTCATTTGTCAACCTTTACTATGTTAACTACACGTTTTCTCAAAAGCTGCTGATAAAATGTGAAACACAACAGGGTTGAGAGGTGTGACACCTCACCAGAAGTACTTCTCCCTTTACAAGCATTGTAATAAGTATTATTTTAGCTTCCTAAATCAAAATACCATGAGGTACTAAGTCAAATGTCTTATAAGGTATAGTACATCCAAACAAGTACTTTCTATTTAAAAAAATCTAGAGTCCTATAAAAAAAAGGCATCAAGTTAGTAGGACAGGATCCGTAAATACGTATTAATTGGCATTACTAACAGTACCATTTCCTAATCAAGTTCTTCATGAGGTTTTCACGTGTTTTACTTAAGGTTCACGTGGAGGTGACTAAGCCATACACGCCCAGGTCGTGTCCTCTGTTCTCCTCCTACCTCCTGGAACTTTCCCTGTGTTTCACGAGTTACTGTAAAACAACATTCAAGACAAACTGTTCCTCAGCCAACTCTTTTAAAACTCTAGGATGCAAATTATCCCAATATGTTAA